TGAAACATTTCTGAAAAAATATTAATATTATTATTATTAGTAGTAGTTAAGTTTGTAATTTTTATTATTATTTTTAGATTTTATAATTATTTTAAATTTGAAATTATTTCTTTAAATTATCCACTAATTGAATTGTTCCTTAAAATTATCCACTGACTAACATGGAACAGTTTTTTTTTTTTTTTTACAAATTTTAAAATTAATAATCACACTCATGTTTTGCAATGTTTATTTTTGGTTTCTCAATTTTAGATAGTTAAATTTTTTAGTTATTATCTTATATAAATTTTGAAAATTATAAAATGATTATATCACGTTGATTTTAAGTAATTCTTTAATAAATAAATTTAATATTTTAATTTCTAATTTAAGATAATCACAAATAGTTGGTTTTATTATTTAATCCTATTACATGTAATTAATAATTTTAATTATTTAAAAATCCTATTTTTTGTGGTGCTGACATGTGTCGTTCTAACTCTAATTATTTACATGTGTCTATATTTATTTATTTAATTATTATTATTGATTATTAATTATTAAGTATTTAAAATACTGAAAATTTGTGGTGTTGACATGTGTCATTTTTTTTTCTCCTTTTATATATAGATAGATTGGTGAATTTGTATAAAATATAGTGCATCTTAATTGAGCCATTTAATTTCTTTATTCTGTACACTATATTCTATAGCTGACTATATTTCTCATCAACTTTTTTCTTGAAATATTAATTTAAGTCGGTTACAATATTGTATTAGTTTGTGAAGTCTATATTGTCAAAATCTTTCATAATTTTATCTTTACCATAATGATTGTTGTTACAATGTGCTGTAATATTGTATGATATGCATTAGAGGAGATACTATTCTTATCTGAATTAATTGGTCCTTGTATCCTGGGAGAACATATTTTTGGAGGGGTATAAACATTAATGCATGCGCACACATTGAATCTAGACTTTTAAAGTATATAAAACCTGATGTTAGAGATTTAATCTTCATAGCATATGTTACATTGACACCATTTGATGAACATTTCATTTTGTTGGAACTTAACTGAATCATCATGATTATGTTTCATCTGTTCTTTCTAATTGATGTTTAACAAATAATAGTGAATCTAAATTCATCAACAAGGATTGTGATAGAATGGTAAATACTCCTTCATCCTTAATCAAGAGGTCTCAGGTTACTGATGCAACTTTTACAGATGTAATGTCAATATCTAGTATCTAGATAAATTCTTGTTTTTGTTATTGGCCTAACAGAATTATTCCACAAAAAGTTCAATCAACAAGTCTAATTAATGAAACATTATGGGGATCACCTAGGAGGGGTTAATTTGACAAGTTCAGCCAATTTGGTATATGAAGATATTGAACCTTCCTCCGGTTGGATATAGGATACAGAAAACCATTATCTTCTTATTGATCTCCCTGGTATTCATACTTCATTGTTTCCTTGTTTTTGCTTTCGAAAAAATTATGCATTTCTATTACCATTTCGGTTGTATTTAGGGATGACAACGGGCCGGGCGGATTTTGTTTCCACCCGCAAAATTTCAACCCGCCCTGCATCAACATTTTCACCTGCGTCCACCCATGACCCGACCCACATAGCCGCATCCACGCCGCGCAACGCAAGCTAAAGTTTCTATTTATTTTTTTCCACCAAAATTGTATTCAAATTTTAAATTATAATAAGTTCGATAAAAAAAATGAGTTTAAAATGATGTATTTTATATGAGATATTCCTTAGCTACATGTGGCGTTATATATATATATATATAGTACATAACAAAAATTGTTACAGGTGAAACTTTTAATTGCTTAAATTAGCAATTAGTCATCTCACTGTATAAGAAACTACTCAGCTAATGATTTTAAAATTTAGACCACTTCATTATAGGTCATTTCACTGCACCATTGAGAGCATTAAATAATATGATTTTTCTGGACCATATACATTAATTACTTTTTCCGTCTAAGTGATATAGTTGAAATTTTGAGAGTCAATAATGTATTATTTCTGGATTTGATTGAAATTTCTTTATATATATTAAATATTTAAGTTATTAATTATTGTTATTCATAATATTATTTATATAATTTCCAAATCAATAAAATTTTATTTAAAAAAAACTTAAAATATTTATTTACGAATTCACAATCAAAATTTCAACGATGTCACATACATTTGGATCGAAAAAGTTAATCACATAAATAACTACAATTATATGATTATATAAATTGTAAAAAGGTATGTCAACTAGTAAATTATTATATTATTAATATGTTAGGCTATTTGTGAGGGCTAAAAATAGTTACAGTATAGAATAATAGTTTCAGTTTCTTACTCTCCAGAGCAAAAAATGAGAAAACCGAGAGAGCAAAAGAACGAATTAAGACAGAATATTGGAAATCCCTAACCCGCCCTGCGTTAATTATTTTTTTTTTAAAATTTCAACCCGCCCCTGCTCCTGCATATGTCTAAACCCGCTCCGCCTCACACCCGCACCATTCCATTGCCATCATGTACAAATTTTCGAGTCAGACTAATGTGTTTGCCATCATGTACAAATTTTCGAGTCAGACTAATGTGTTTAGCATAAATTATTCAGTCAATCGTTAACATTATCTGCACTGATTGAACTTACCAATTATGAGGTCAATTTGTTTTATTGTTATCTTGCTCTTTTAATTTGTTAGAACTTAGAAGGATTCAAAAGGGAGGAGGTGAAGCTTCAAGTTGATACATTTGGCAATATAATGGTAAGGGGAGAATCCCTTTTTTTGTATAATGTGAACATAATGTAATATGCGTGTAATCCCCATAAGCATGTTTTTATTTACTTCTACTTTTCAGGAGACAACTTAAGAGCACTAATTCTGCAAGTTTTGTGAAATTAGGGCAATTTTTCTAAACTTAAGTCTATCTAAACCGAAGAGTTGACCAAAACAAGCTATTATTTGATTCAATTCACTAAAGTAATATGAAACTTTAAAATTTTACAGTATAAACGTTGTTGGTAGTAACGTATTAGGCTTTATTTCATTTTAAAAAAATAAACGGACCAAAAATAGTTGGGAGACGGCGTTAAAGAAGATTTACGTTACTAGCAGTAACGTTTTAGGCTTAAAACGTTGCCATCAGTAACGAGTCTCTGCAAATCTGCCACTTTCGAATCTTTGTACCAAATTTTGTTATTACGAAGCACGTTTTAATGATAAAACGTTACTCCTAGTAACTATTCTGTCGAATCAAATCACGTCTCCCAACTGAGAATCTTTGTATGAAATATGACGTTAAAGTCGTTACTATGAGTCACGTTTTAAGACTAAAACGTTACTTTGGGTAACGATTCTATCGAATCATGTCACCGGGCTCTGAATATGTCTTATTGATTTGATCTGCCAATAAAACGTTACTATATGTTACGTTTTAACTTTAAAACGTGACTGACAGTAACAACAAACTGTTAAAGTGTTCCTTTTACAATTTGACCACGGATCATTATAAGAAATGGTGGTGTAGAATGTTTAGCACATTCCAATAATTTTCTACAAAGCTTCTGTTTATGTGCCCCATTGTTGAATCAATACTCACAAAATTTTAATAGGTAAGTCTTGTCAATATTTTGTAATGTATTTATAAAACTATATTTTTAATAACTATAATGCATCTTATTTTTGTGTGTAGGATTTTTTATGGCTAATTTTGAAGATAACGTGATGATTGCTTTGTATTGGGGTGGTGAAATAATCACTGAGATGAAGTGAAAGAAGAAGGTTTCTCAAAACCACCATAGTTGTAGATATGGACTTATAACCAATGTATTTTAGAAAGTTCCTTTCTGTATTTTCTTTTGGTTTGGATGGTGACATTTGTGGATAAGAATGAATAAAAGGTCCACGTGACCACAATTCACTTAAAGAAAAGAAGAAGATGTGGGTAACGTTTTACACCTAAAACGTTACTCATAGTAACATTTATTCATTTAACATCGTCAACTCCGTCAGTTTTTGCCCGTTGAATTTTTAAAATAAAAATAACCTAAAATGTTACTCTGAAGTACGTTTATACTACTTTTCTAAAAAAATTAAAAAGTGTATTAGTTAGGTGAATTGGTTTTAAAAATAACTTATTTTGGTCAAAAATTCATCTAAACCTAACTATTATAGGTATAATTATATTAATACAAAGTGTATAGTGGAAACAATACTCATAATAAAGTGGAATGGAATTCAAATTTTGGGGATATAATTAGTGGAATTCAAAATGAACTTTTCTATATAAGCTATAAAGTATAGGCTGAAGGACAACATAGAGCAACGTCTCTGTTAATATGGCTCATTTAACCATGCAATTGAAGTTGTGATTTAAAAAATTGTGTTTGTTTATGATATTTGATCAAAATTTTAATTTTAATTTCAAATCTCAAATTCACCTGAGAGATAGAATTTCAATTTTATGTTTGTGATTTCATTTGTTTGTATCTATTTTTATTAAAAAAAAACCTAATTTTAAATTTTATGATCAGTTTCGTCATTAGATAAATTAAAAGGGATTAGTGTTGTGCTAAAATTTGGAATAATCAATTGCCTTGGAAAAGCTGCGCACAAACTGTTCTGTGAGATGTTTGTCCAAGCATTGCAGTTGTATCGTAACATGTAGTGTGCTGGGTTTGCGTCCAACAAGGTGACATACAACATTGTAATGGAAGATTGTGGTTATCTGGAGCCTATAAACCTCTATGTAATAATGTCAAAATGTGAATAGGATTAATAGCAATAAATGACCAACTATCTTTTTTACTATTTGATTGAAGCAAAGCACAGAATAAAAACATTGCCTTTGTCAAGAGGCTTTGCCTACAGGGTAAAAGAATCGAATAAAAATTTGCAGCATCTCGCAAGAAAAGCTATTTGAATATGCTCATAACAAAATAAACAAACTATTTCATCAATAAAATTATTACACAGTAAGTTCATCCAACAATTAATGGCACATTATGAGTATTACAAAAGAGGGGCTAATTGGCCTACTTCAGTTAATTCGGTATACGAAGATATTGAACCTTCTTCCAGCTGGATAGAAGATACCCAAAACCATTATCTTCTTATTGATCTCCCTGGTATACTTTCCTAGTTTAAATCTGCTTTTTTGGTCATCATTTCCATTGTATTTTACAAATTTTCAAGTCAGAGTAATGTGTTTTAACATATATTATTCAGTCAATCATTATCAATTCTGATGTTTATTTTATTATCTTGCTCTTTTAATCTGTTTAAAGGGTTCAAAAGGGAGGAAGTGAAGCTTGAAGTTGATATATTTGGTAATATAATGGTAAGTGGAGAAAGGAAGGTAAGAGAACATAAATTTATTCGCTTTCAAAAATCAACGAAAGCACCTGAAAAGTCGAAATCTGAGGATACCAGTGTGAGGCTTGAAGACGGGATTCTGTATGTGATCATCCCAAAAGAAGTAGCAGAAAACAATGAACACGACGAGACAGCAAATGATAGGTCTGGCCATGAAGATGATCAAGAAAAAGATACAGAGGAAATAGAAAGTTCGAATGGTGATGTTTCAGAACAAAAAGAAAATAACATACAAGGATTGAGTGAGGATGAAAAATTCAATGATGCAAAAATGGAGAAGAAGAGGCACGAGAGAGGTATAGTGGTAGCAGGAAAAGAAATTCTAAGGAAGAACAAATCAATTGTAATTACAGCAGTGCTTGCATTTTCTTTCGGGGTTTTCATTTCTAAAAAATCTAAGTCAAATAAAATCAATCAAGCTTCGTGACTGGTATTTCTCCCATTATGATCATGTGACAAATAATGTAGATAACATATTCGACGTGCAATGGACATCAAGTGAACCTACAATAAAAGAACTTTTCCAAATTATGTTGCATCAAATGACTAATATCCTATTTACTTAAAAGAACTTTTCCAAATTATATAATAAGACCTGTCATGAGTTGCATTAGATTACCGTTTTGATTGACTTAAAAAAAAATACTAGTTTTTAAGTTAAAAATAAAAAATTAAACTTAAATGACTTTTAAGTCAAAAAATAAAAATAAGGGGAGACCTACTTTTGGTTTTTAACTAATTATTTTAAGTTATTTTTAACCTTGTCAAACATTTCCTAACTTATTTTAAGTCATTTTTTTTTACTTATATTAAGTTATTTTTATATTTGTCAAACACTTGTAGAAGTCAAAAACTGACTTAAAAATAAATTTGACCAATTTTTAAGCGAATCCAAACACCCTTTTTAATTAAGCTTTATGGGCTAATAGAAATTGCAAATGGCAAACTATTGTAAATTGGATAATTTTAGTTTAAACTAAAGGTATATGAATCGAAAAATGCTTATATATGAACTTCTTTACCTAATAAATTGGACACTACAGCACCAGATGAATTGGGCTTCATGTCATCCAATCCGGCCCATTAGCGTGAAGTGATGCAGTTCAACTCCCAGGAGTAAATGACATATATATATACAACTGTTATGGAAAATTAGCAACAAATAGTCCATAATTAAATGGGAAAATTTTCAAAAGAGCAATATTTTAGCTTTTAGTGGACTCCTTAGCAACAGTTTCATTATTTATTAAAAATGTCATTATTTTAGTTTGTTAAGGGATTAGTTATGTATTTATTTTATTTTGATTAATTTGAAAGAATACAAATAATTAATAACAGAATAGAGAAAATCATGGAACAAAAAATATCAAAAAAGGTAAAAAATATTTTAAATACAAATCAGTTATGTTTTGAAAAGAGCATAAATAGTCATCTTTCCGTCGAGCGTTTTTTTGCTTTCTTCTTAAGAACATCAAAAAAAAAATTAAAATAATTTAGTTTGTCTTCCGAATCATTCATCTGATAACTTTCAAAACTTCTTCAAGTTGAATACGACATATTTTTGAAACAGAATTTTTCAAAATTGACAACTATAAATTTGTCGCATCCAGTGAACAATCGAAAAACAATTAGGTATTTTTTTCGATTTTTTGATTTGTTTGGATGAGATATTCGTATATGTCGAGTACAAGAGTGTTATTTTTTTTTCCTGATTGAATCAGTGAAATCTTTGTATGCATTGGGATTTATAGCTTTTTCGGATGTTTTGTATCCAAATTATGATGTATAACGAATGAAATTGTTTTTTTTTTAGTTTAGTAGCTGTTTTTTTTTCTATTTGAATGCATACAATAATTTGTATCTCATTAAGTTAATGTAACTAATCGATCATGAACTATATGTTGAATACAACAATATATGAATACAAAAGTGAGATGAAAATACAAAGTTATAAATACAAAGTGAGATTGAATATAAAGTTGTGAATACAAAAGAAATACCCTCTTCATTTGAGATACAAAGTGACTTTGAAAGGTAAAATACAAACTAATGGATCATGAATTATATGTTGAATACAACAATATATGAATACAAAAATGAGATGAAAATACAAAGTTATAAATACAAAGGGAGATTGAATATAAAGTTGTGAATACAAAAGAAATTAAATACTCTCTTCATTTGAAATACAAAGTGACTTTGAAAGGTAAAGTAGGCACATAAAATACAAAACTTGTTGGTATACAATTAGGTTGAATACAAAACAAAAGAGAAATACAAACTTGTTCACATATAAATTGAGATTGAAATACAGAATGAATACCCAATAAAATACAAAATTGTTAGCATACAATTAGGATGAATACAAATTAAGAAGGGAATACAAACATGTTGGTATACTAATTGAGATTGTAATACACAAATCAAATGAGGGAAATTCCCCAAAATTTTGAATATTATTTGGTATACCTCTAGTAATTCTAATTGAATCAGTCATTGTAGATAATCAGATGCTTTCCCCATAATCTAAAACCCTAAAAGCAAATTTCGATATTATTAAGTTTTAAAATGTATTAAATATCAAATAAAACAAACATATATATGAATTTCTAGAATCAACAAAATCTGAAAAATTAAAAGAAAATCACAAAAAAATTGAAATTAATAAATATATGATGAATATTTAAACACAAAATCACATAAAAATTGGAAAATTTGACTGAAAATCCGTAATGTATAGAATCAGTGATTTAAACATCAAATAAAAAAAATCAAAATTGATAATGGAAATTACCTTGCCAACCGAGAAATCTGCTTGAATTAATAAAGAGATTTCGTTTAACAATAAACAAAATTTCTTGATGAACAACAATTTAGCACTTTGAAGAAAGATAAACTTGAAACGTGAAAGGTGGGGAAGAAACGTGAAAGTTGGGGAAGAAACGTGAATGATGATGAAAAAAGATTAATGGTATTGGTTTAATTTAACTTTTTCACTTTAAACGGTTATTGATATATAATTTGGTCTAATATAGGACTCTTTCCATAAATAAAATTAATTTAAAATACTAAAATCTGAATACATATTATTTTATAAAAATATTATCATTCTGCCATTTTAAATAAATATTTTAAAGTGTTGTTATTTTGACTAATTATGTTAGGTATTATGACTTAATTGCTAATTTTCTCTAATTAAATAGCATTTAATAGACCAAAAAAAAGAGCACAAATTAGCCCATACTAACAGGCGGCATATTTTTTTATTTTTTTTAAAAAATTCTTATGAAACTAACCGCCACACACAACATTAAAAACGGAACGTGGGTAAACAGTTAACTAAATTATCTTTTATCACATGATTGGATTTTTATCACGTGAATGAACAATCATGTATACAATGCATGCATGTATACATATCCGTGTATTCATTCACTAAAAATGTAAACACTGTATCGAATAATCTTTTATCTCATGAATGAGTTTTTATCATTTGAATGAACAATCATGTATACAAAAATTCATGTATACATATTCGTGTATTCATTCACTAAAAATTTGTATACATTCCAAATTCTTCCTTCAGTGTGTAAATGAGGATTGCACTTGGAAATTAAAATGCTCAGCATTACACAAGTCAAAAATATTCAAAGCATGACTAAAATTTGAAGTTTTGGGTGGAGATTCAATAAAATCAGAATCAAAATCTCCTTTTTTAGGAATAATTCTAGGAATATTTTTCTTAACCGTGGCAATTGATACCCACAATCAATTACTATCTCCTTAATTTTCGCCCAAATATAAAAACTTTCAACTTGAAAAATTAAAAAACCAAGAAAAAAACTAACAGCAATATAAAAAGTGAAGACATGCAAATCTTCTAGAGAAGATATAACATCAACTTCTAACACTTTTATTTAAAAGAATTGAAGAAGAATGATATAAATGTTTACATTATCAATAAATATTCATCAATCAAAGAAAACATGTATATGTGAAAAGAGGAGAAAAAAAAAGGGAACAAAGTCTCATTTTTCAATAAAACTGCAACATGTTGTCATCAACTTAAAAAATAATTAATTTAAATATAAATTACTTCTCATATATTAACGTGGGCCAAAATATGCCAATTTTAATTTTAAAAAACCTTTTTTTTGTTATAAAAATAACGGAAAAGGGTCAAAAATACCCCTGAACAATTGGAAATGGATCAACTATACCCTCCGTTTGATTTTGGGGTCAAAAATACCCTTACCGTTAGTGTATTGGCTCACTTTTACCCCTCAAAACTAACAGATGCCATGTCACCTTAAAAATCACATAAAACAATAGTATTTTTTTTGCTGACTTAGAAATACAAATGGACAAAAAAATATATAAAATAAAAATAAATTTATCTTTCACTTCTCTTTCTTTCTTTGAAGAAAAGAATGAACCTGTGGCTTTGTAAGAAATTTTTCTTCATTTTTTTTCATCTGAATTTCTTTCTTATCTTCTCCTTCTTCTATACTTTCAAAAATTCTATTATTCCTCTAAGATAAATTAATTATCTCCCTTATACACAATAATTTTATCATTATTCTTTTGAATTTCAAGTTTTCAATTCTCATTGTGGCAGCAGATAAAGGAAAAAAAACCTCAGAATTTTGATGAGGGAAAATAAAACAACAGAGGTTTCAATATTATTGGCTGGGGATAATTTACTCCATAAGTCAAAATCCTTGCACAATTTTATTCATTGTATAATTTCCTGTAGTTTCAATTCTTCACAATATATTTTCCTATGCTATTAATCTTCTCCAATTTCAAAAGAAAAATTAAAAATTGCCAAGATGATGAGAAGGCAACCGATTGAGTCAAAATTTCAACGCTTAACGTTTTTTTAATAAGTTTCGTCGAGTTTTATGAATGGTATCTACATCATCTTCGGGTAGGAGAACAAAAATGGCAACATCGATGTTGTAGATTACTTTAGATTGGATTTGCATCTCTGCTTTCGGTGATTTCTTTTGCAGATCCATGACTATTTCACTACAATTTACTCGTTAGGTCTTTTTGTCCATGTGTATTTCCAAGTCAGCAAAAAAAATATTGTTTTATGTGATTTTTAAGGTGATGTTGACACCCAATTTTGGCCCCCCACAATTTAGTTAATTTTCAAGCTTCTTTGATTTCAAGCAAATTGAAATAATTATTTATGAATCTTTCAGGACCATTTTCAAGGCAATTGGGCCATTTACCTATAATATATATATCTTCATACTTGTAATATATGGATTTATGTATTTATTACTTTGAATAAATATTTTTTAAAAAAAATTGTTTTACTAAAAAATAGAGTTTTAACTAAGTGTACATTTTATTTCCTCAAAGATCAATTAGAGTACATAACTACTCTCTTTATTTCCAAATAATTTTAATTGTTATGATTAT